ACTACGATGATCGGAAAATGCTAATCATTCGGATCTACTTCACCCCATGTTATCTAATGCCGACCGATCTGAGATTCCTTCCGCCATATTGAATACGTAAATTTTCCTATTTGGATCAGGCCTACACCATCGAAATGTCAGCGATTGAATACAACAATCTACTCTTCGAGGCAAGCCAGAGGCTCGAGGAGCTGAATGTTCGTGAGCGTCTTCTGTTTATGTGCAGAGGGAAGCTGACCTCTGGCAGCGATGGAAACATCCCAGACGTTTTGTCATTGTTTAGGGAACTGGAGGACAAGGAATACCTAGGAATTGATCGCCTGAAAATATTGAAGGAGATTTTGAAGAGTGTTAGGGAATGGTCGCTCTTTGGAAAAGTGAAGAATTTGGAGCGCAAAAGGAAAGAATACAATGGTTTGCTCGAGGAGATAATTCGCGTACTCGACGAACTCAATGATATGGAACGACTCATGTCGTTGTGCAGAGGGAAAGTGCCAGAAGAAAATGAAGGAAACATTAAAAATGCTCGACGATTATTGGAGGAACTGCAAAACCACGAGCATTTGGATGTTGATCAACTCGATATCCTAAAGGAGATTTTGACACGAACAGAGAAAAAAGATCTGCTTTTGAAAGTTAATGAGTTCGAGAAGCGAATGAATGAGGAGGAGGAATTGGAAAGCAGGAAAGGTAACTCGATATATTCCTCTCATACTTTACGTTACTTTAGAGTCGAAGTGGACATGTTTTTTTGTTTTCATTTATAAAGTTTTCGTTAATTTTGGAGTGACTCTATCAGTAGGAACATCCTAAAGCGTTGGTCGTGGGAATGTTATAGAACAATTTAGGAATGACAGAATAAATTTCCAGAACGTGGTGTAAAACAAGTATATCTTGCAACATTTTAAGCACAAAAACATCTGCTTTGAATACTATGAAGGTTGAATCACGTAAAAGGTTTCATTGACTTTTTGATAGGTACTAAAATTTCGGCTAGGATTGAATAAATTTTATCTTCAAGTGTAAATTATATCCTACGCTCACTTTGCTTTAAATCCCAAATACCTAACGCAAAATGATAAAATTATATCGGTCCATAAGTATTAGTGTGTTTGTTATAACGAAGTCAATGAAATATTTAATATTTCAATCAATAATTATAATAATTTTAAAACACATCTAGTAAAGATCACCCTAACTTAAAATTATCAGTGCAAATGCATCTTCAACTTGCAAAACAAAATATCTCTTTCTTCAGAGAGCATGCCAAGCATAACCAGTCTAATGATACAATCAATTTTGCAAAATTCATTTAGAAACCAATTTTCAGTAAGCAATCAAAGTAATTTTAGATAAATAGGAAAATACCAACAATTTTTCTTGCAGGTATAGGCTGCAGTTTTTCTTTTTCAGAAAGGTGGAAATGAAGTTAGGGCTTCAGCTTATACGTGTGTACTCAGTTAACATGTCATTAATGTATAAGAGCTCCAAGGTTAACCCTACTATTGTTGTACTTCTTCCTTAGCAATATCTGCCTCCTTAAGGAGGTCCAGCAAAGCTTGCTTGAATTAGCTATTTCTATGCACTTGCTCAGGCTAACAGAGTGCTTCCTTTTCATACTCACTTCAAAACCATCTGAATTGTTGGCCAGAATTCTACTAGATGCCATTGATAAGTGTCTGGCAGTTTCTTTCCATCCATATCAAGTTCTTCAAAAACTGCTACTGTAAACTTGTCATCTTTATTTGACACTTAAAGACCAGTCTAGAAGAAATCACAGATTCACGGTTTCCATGATTGATATCCTCTTATTTTGTCTATTACACAATGTAAGACTTAATAGCTCCATCCATTTTTGCTCATAAATGAAAAAACCGTAGCTTCAAATGAATGATAACTTCCTCTAATTTGAGTCATGTTGTTGGGATGTGACATGCACACTAAGTAATGCACTAGTTTATTTACAATCTTATTGTATCAAATTTTAAATGCATCTTTACATTTTGTGCCCGCAAAATTGGAAAACATTTTAGTCAAATCATAAAAACAAAAGTTTCTTCCAGAATATCATAATAGCACAAGTTTAAACTTACAGTTGTTAGTTATGATATAAAGAAAGGAACCTGGAAGCACACCAGTTTCAAGGAGATATGAGAAGAAAACTCAAACATAGCAATAACAACAATTTTAAAACTCTTTTTGAATGGGTTTCATAATGATAGCTACTGGACCCTCTGATCACAGTTCACTAATCAATCAAATAAAGCAACAGTTTAGTGTGCAGCCTATCAGTGGGTGCCTTCTATCCACAAGTACAGCCTATCTGGGTAAATATGGTTACCGTATGATATGTTAGGCTTTGGATGTTACAATGTTAAACTGTGAACTTGGACTTAAAAATGCTTTCTAGCTGTCAGGCCACTGTTTTTCTTTGCAGGACCTTCCAGCCAGCCACTAACATAATCTTTTTTATCTATATTTTCTACACTCTGTGCTCAATCTTCACAATTTGGAGTGCTTTAATTTAAATTCAGCATCAGTCGATCTTCTTAATTGTTAAGGGCAGTTATTAGGTCATGTCCTGATTTTTTTGGGTGCTTAAGAATAAAATTATAATTTTGATAGATTTTAATAGAAAGATTTAAATAGAAAATAAATACTGGTTTTTGCCATAGTTTACCTACTTTCACTTCCATTTCAAATTTAAACAGTGAAGCAGACCTGTGCAACTATGGGAGAAATTTTAAATTTGTTTGCAGACTTCATGATTGTCATCAGTTTGCTTACTTTTACTGGAAGGACAATGACTGACTATTGTACAGATATATCCAAAGTTTTCACACTCTTAATAACAAAAATTAAAATGTGCGTGGAGATTAATTTTGGTTTCTTTTCACTATATATTCAAATGTGACAAGCTTCAAGGATGTATTCATGATGGACAGTTAATTGGGCAATGACAGCTAACATGTACCAGCCCCCTACTTCTGTGGTTGGTCCAGAGGTTTCTTCTTAACTACTTAGAGGCTGTGTGCCAAAGTTTGGTTAACAGCTACTTGTAGGGACATAAGAATCTGTATATGTTTAAGGCCAGAAGAAGTAATGCAGTGCGGATTGTAAGTTTCAGAGGCACTATGTTGGCCAATGATATCAATTTTTCAAGCACAACTATAATTTTACATTTAAAACTCACAATCTATATGCTGATATTGTAATATATCCTTCTATATCTGACTGTAACCCTAAAGGTATTTCCCTTTGTAATTTTTCTTTTCAAGGGTTACAAAAAGTTTTACACCAAATGTCACAATCAGTCCCATATTAATACTGTTTTTTAGGAGTGTTCTAGTGCTTCTACACTTTTCACAATATTCTGTTATTCTTAATTATCAATCCTGCACTCTTTTATATGTTATACAGTGTTTGCCATTTGAGTCTTACCAGCCCATAACATCAAGCTAAACTGACCAATCATGAACAGGACTAAGAACATTTGACTGGCAACTCTCACTTGCTACCCCTGAGTTCAAACCATTTGCTGTAATATTTTGCCATTAAACTGCCATTACTCTGCCAAACAGTCATGTAAATTCTTAAACTAAGTCTGGAGCTTATTTTAAGCAGGAAGTATTGAACAGGAGGTTAATGGGGGGAATTGTTTTACCAAGTGGCTTATTGTGTTGTTCTTAACTCCCCCACCTGAGGCACTCCATTTGAACTGAACTTGAACCTTCAGCCAGCTGAAACACTTATATTACTCTGTGGTTAGGTACCCAGTATGTAAAGTTTTTCAGGGGTGGACTATTTAAATTCCAAGCAGTAGAAGATACAGAAATTTGTGTATGCAAGCTCTAATAATTTGTTCTTTTGAACTAAAATGATGATTAAAATCAGTGTGTTTTTATTGTTGAGAAGCTTAACACTGTCAGGATTGAGCAAGTTTTTGTTGTTGCTGTTTTCAAGCTTGCAATGAAAATTAACTTGTTGGAGTAACTTCTGATGAAAAAGCAATGTTTCATCGTCTCAGATAAGGAAAAGAGAGATACTGACCCAACAAAAATCATTTCTACTGTAAGGGTAATATCATTGGTCTTCATTGTCCTTTTTTACCTGATCTAAACATCAATTCTCATCACTGTCTGACAAATCTTCTTGAAATTTTTGCTGTGAGAAGTGTGCTGTACAATTTCAAGCAATACACTGACCCCAAATCCCCATTCTGGTGATTATTTTTTATCTTTCCATCACTTTTCTGCTTGGAAATGTCATCTGTAATAATAAAAAAAAATTCATGTTTGGTCACTCATTGTGAACTGAATAAATTTAAGGGTTGTTTTAATCTATCATAAAGTCATTGCCCATCCAACTTGTATATCTATTACCTCACAGTAACTGATATTTCATTTCGACCCCCAAAAATTTTAAATTATTTACTCAGTGTTATATAATTTTAAGACACCACATACAAACATGCACAAGTGGTCTTAGTGTACACAATTTTGTTTCAGTGTGACTCGACTGCTAATTGCCAAATCTAAACTAACATTAACCCAATCTTGTCATCAGTTGACTGTTGTTGAGTCAGAGGGTGGGGTATGTGGCAGCAAATTAGTTCAAATACTGACAATGATCCTATATTTCCATTCCTTGAGTATAATCATTTTTTATTAAGTCAATAACAATAGCAGTATGATAATGGTAGTGATGATTTTTGCTTGGCCTCAGGTATGAGTATCATGAACTGATGTGTCAATGAAGAAAGTAATAATACCGATGGTGGTAATACATCTAATAGTGATGATAATAATAATGATGATAATGATAATGATGATAATAATAATAATAATGATAATATAGGTAGCATAATAGCAATAATAATAATAATAATAATGATAATAATCCTCCATTTTATTAATAAAGCAATTATTTACAATTTCAAACCATACATCTAATTATTTACAAATTTCAAAAGAATTAATATTAATGTTCACGATAGAGAACTAATTAAAATATATGAGAAAAGAAAAAATTTAGCATTACTAAATAGAAAAAACTATCAAAATATAAAAACCTGGAATTATGAGTGCAGATGTAGACCAACTACAGCGAGGGTGAAGTCTTCTGAGACCTGGTGTGATTTAAACGGAACTCTAGAACCTCTTACGCATATGTGTACAGTTCTTAATATAGCAAAGGAAAGTTGTATTAGTAGCCAGGAAATGACGCTGGCGTAGGGCTCATTATTCTTGTTCGAAAGCTTATTTGCGAGGGTTCTTAAAAAGTTCTGACAGTCAAGTCCCATGCCTCCGTTTGTACCAAACACCAACGGTGTAAAAGTTCGCATTTCCACATCCCTCACTCTCTGGTTGTATTTCCTCTTCTTCTCGTTTTCTTGCTCTTTGAAGATCGTTGCTGTTGACTTACCCTGGTTTGACCTGGAGTTAACATGCGTTACATGTACGTCGAAAAATGCTGTAACTCCTGGTGTCCAAAAGCCTCCTGCCTTCATGTCCAGCCTTGCTTCTCGGCTTTCGACAGTTGACTGAAGGTTGAAAACCTCATTGTCGAGTGGTTGCAGGAGTGGCTCTGTCTCCACATTTCTGCACACTTTACTGATGTGTAATGTCAGTAGATCTCGGATTGTATCGTGTCTCTGGGCAACAAAACCTCCCTTCTTGCATGACAAATCATGGTTGACAGTGGAGATTTCCCCACAAGCACAGTAACTAGGGAGATTAGGCAGAGGGAGGTTGTAGCAGAGGCAAAGGGAGTCCCTATTAACTCCTGCTTGTTTAAAGCCAGTCCATGTTCTTCGATTGGAGTGGTGTTTAGCTAAGAGCTGGCTACCTTGTCCCTTGCCTGCTGCACCGATTGGAGTAGATCAGGAGATAACGATTCGTCAATCCTGTCAATCCGGGACTTTACAGCGGCTTTCTTTTAAGCGTTGATTTCACGCCTCCTTTCCTCCGTCAACTCTCGTGCTGGAATGGTGGAGCTTTGAGTAACAATAGAATTGACGTGTAGTGCTGTTACATCACACGAGGCTTTGAACTGCTCCGGACTTTCACGCTTAAGATTAGGAATCCCAATCCCGCCCTGTGCAGGTGATAGATTGACAAGTTCCTTAACTTCTTCAGGGAGAGGCTCCGCTCGCCCGAATAACAAAGGAAGAAAGGAAGTGTGAATCACTTCTTCGATGGGGTCCACATACTCTTCAAACGATTCTATGGTGCGCAAGTAATAAGTGAATTTCGATTTAAATCCTATAGTGAATGCGACATAGGCAGCGTGGAGCTGACTCTTGCTGATCACTGTGAGGGACTCCATTTCTTTGAGCCACTTATCTACTTTCTCTTGACAATATTGGTCCATAAACTCTTTTGATCCGATGACCGCACCGAGATGACGTCGTCCATCGAGCGTTATGTTCACTTCATTGCCAAACACCTTATTTGCATTCTCTACCAGATCACTGGTCTTAACAATTAACCAGCTTTTAGCACCATTAACGATATAGCCAAATTTTCTCCCTTCCTCACATAAACTCTTGTACCTCTTGTCCCTCACAGTGACTCAATACTCCCTCCACTTGCGGAGTCATCCGCCAGCCAGACTTGCTTGGCGTGGGGAATTGATGCCCTGAGACTAATGATCATGTGAACGATGTTAATTGCATACCAAGTCATTGCTAGTGGGTCACCTTGGGTAGTACTCTCTTGGGAAAAGATCTCGCCTCCGCCATTAATGAACAGCCTGGAGGGGCTTCTATACGTGGTAATGATAATTATATAAGGCGATTTCTTTACATGTGATCCTGACGTTATGCATGGCCAACGCCCTGTTCATCTGATTGAACGCGTTAGTTGCATCAATTAATAGAACTCCGTCCGTCCCTTCCTCATTAAAAACCTGACTCATTGCGTGTAGGGCTGCTTCTGATCCAGCGCTATGACCTGCACAAACTTGCAGTGGGCCAGCTGCCTCCTTTATTTCTTCCATAAACATCGCAGAGGTGGTTTTGTCGATTATGCGGCGCAAGACCTTCTCTCACTCCAATTGGTGTAACTCCTGGGTTTTTGTTCAGCGGTATCAGTCTACAAGCATTGTAGCCTTAAAGTAGGGAGGGGTGGTAATTGAACTTAAGCAGGTTTCTTGTCAGAGTAGCGATCTCTTCTCTTAGTGTTTTTCCTTCCGCCGCAAAGTTCTTTTAGCAGAGAATTCAACGGTACAGCTCGGCATCCATTCCGGGAGGGCCAGCAGAACCTTTAGTTTTCAGGGCGGAGTCAAAGATCCACTTCTCACCGATTAGATAAAAAATGCGGGGTGGAACGAGGTCTACAGGACCATGCAGGAGACACTCCTCTTCGATTTCAGCGGGAAGAGGGTGTTCCTCTTTCAATTGAGCTAATACTTCGTCTGACAGATTCAACAATCCCGACGAGCTCTCTTTATCCAGGAATTTGATCGCTACCGTGAGTTTCCCTTGAAAGACTAACTTTGCAAACGTTCTTGAGATGTCTTCAAACGAACTGGACCTTTTAGAATTCACAAACCCATCTTGAATGAATCATCTCCTTCATTAACATATTCAAGTCACCCTGCCTCCAGAGAGCTAATCTCCGCTCTATCGCCATACTGTGCTCTTTGCTTTTGGAGGTTGCCGGTGGTTTTTGTAGAATTACCGAAGGAAGCACCATAAATGCTTTCAAGGCGATCGAATTAAGATCTGAGCTAAATTGTTTCCGCCAAAATGTCAGCTTCTTGATGAAATGTTTACCCGCTCTGCCCGACGGTAGATTGAAAATATTTCTTTGTAATTGAACAACCTCATTATACATATTATTTATTTTCTCGCAAAATCTTTGGTGGCTGATATTTCCCCACTTCTTGGCCTTGATTTCCGAGGGGCACACATCAAATTGCGGTAGATTCGGACTGATTTTAATTTTTATACCACAGTCCAAATGTGTGCTCTCTGTGGTTGTTATCGCTTCTTTGACAAAGGAATTGTTGGCAATTGGTCTCTTCTTGGGAACGGAGCTTGACTTTGCTGTCACGTTTTTCATATGTAAATCTGCTTCTGCCTCTAAATCATGGCTGTTATTATTCATAAACTTTTCGATCTATCCATTCTATTCCTTGTGCTTTCAACACCCATATCCATACATACGACCTCCCCTTTCCTATCTTGCATCTTCTCGAGTCTATCAGCGTGGTCACGAAGATTCTGACTAGACAAACCTTGCTCGTAATATCCCATTGTTTCCGACAGTTCTTTCATCACAGCCATTTAGCCTTTTTTCCTTCCCGAGTCGCGGTGGGTTGCTTGACTTAGTCAAATCCAGAGCTTTCTGTTTACATTCCAGTAAATCATCTTTCATTTTATCGGTCCATTGAATCTTGCTAGTCACCTTGCGCCGATTTCCCTTCGCAGCCATGATAAATTCTCGTTGAGCAATACAAATTTAAAATTCAAAATTCAAAATTCAAAATGTCAAACGGGCTTTGTCGATAAATGCAATCTATAAAAGAGCAGACTATGCAAAAACCTGATATTTCGAATTATCTGGTACTAGTGATTCTCCAAACCCTCTCAAGGAGTCTTGCAGTAGTTAATTTCGGATGTTCAGGATGCAGAGTGTAGAGCTCTTCGTTCTATGTCTACTCCGCCATGTATTCAATAATAATTATAATAATAATAATTATAATAATAATATTAAATATATTAACAACAATAAGTTTAAAACTGATGATCATGACAATGATAACTTAGGGGACGATGATTACCAGGGAATAAGGGTGGAGGATTTTGGGGTGGATCACATGGTTTTCAAAGGCAATTGCGTGGGGGAAATCTGTCATTAAGAGATTATGAAGTGGGACTATAGACAATTGACTGCAACNTGAGTGGACTATAGAAAATTGACCGCCGATTGTGGAGGATCAGGTTGATCTTTTTCGTGACACAAACAAAATCATGCCCCCTCCAGACGATAACTGATGGCGGTTCTTTACAGCGCAAGAAAGGGGAAGCGTGTTATGGGCTCTGGTATGCGTGGAGTTATCATACATCTCATTACACCGAGAAATTAGCCACATGAGTGCAGCGATGCAATAGTTAATCCAAGGATCCCACGTTGAAATTATTTTGTGTTTCATTTCAGCTCGAGCCTCTGCTGTTGTGTCATCAGCTAGAGCTGTCGGTGAAAGGTTAATTGGGGGTGAGTAACAAAATGTGCGCAAATTTGCTGTTATTTTATCTAATTGTATCACAGTGTACATATATATGCCACTAAAAGTTTCTGTTACAAAATGATTAAAGATGTTTGGCTTGTTAGCTGGCCCGGTAATCACTTGAAATTGTGCTAACAGTCGTTTTAAGGAAATATGTTTTCACGTGCGTGGGACAAAGAATACTCTGGCTTACTGGTACTCGATGGTGAGCAAGACCATTTCTCAGTAGTCATTACTATGTAGTATAAACTGCAAAAAAGTTATCATTGCTTTTAAAATAAATTTCTCCGAATTTTGTGTTTAAGAACTGGACTATTTATTTTCAGAGGTTAGAATGCACTGTACATTCCGAAAAATCAGCGGAGCCCTATTGGTTGTCGGTACTGGGGTGATCCTTCATAAATGCTCGAAGCTGGAGGACTTCGTAGAAGCATTCACAGCTGCAGTACTCCCAGCAGCTTCAGCTCTACAAACAATCAGTGAAGGTTCTGTGTGTTTTACTGTGCAGCTGCAAAAAAAGTCGGCTGTCAAGGCTCTGTGGAATCGATACCTGGATGGCACACTGCAACGTGATCTACAACAGTTCCTAGTTACAGATGAAATAAAACAACTAGCCGGTGGCGAGGAGGTCATGATCAATGTCTACATCGATGAGCAAGAACTGAAGAACGCCAATTCGGATCTCTCGACCGCAGATTGTCAAGGTATACAGTGAATTATTTCTTAAGAACCGTAATGACTCTTTCCTTGTTCTTGGTGGATAGCATGTGTGATACAGTAAACACGCGCATTAAGTATCTAATGATTTTCGAGTCCAGGCTGTTGTGTTTCTTGTATTGATATTAGACGATAGATGATATTAAGAATTTGATGAGTAACTTGAATTAGACTGACGCTGTTTTCAAGAAGTCCTTCATTTTTATCTGGAAATGATACAAAGTATAGATTCCTTAGATGACTAATTGATATACATTTCTCAATCTATTTAATGAAATCAGCCACCAACCTTCACCAGTTTGGCTTTTCAGTGTCCCATTTAACAAACGGGAAATTAACCAGCTACTTTTAGAACTGATGTTTGGTCTGCGTACATTAAGTTAAATTATGACTTAATTGATTGGGTCCAAGTGAAGGATAAAGGTCGAATCGTGGCGAAGGCCTCAATGTATTCTTACTAAGAGTACCTTTGCTTGAACAGGTTGATCATGCTGTTTGCCATGAATTTACCGAAAAAAAAAAAAAAACAGGATGATTCACAATAACATGAACAACGAATAAACTAGGCTCCACGACCAAACAGGAAGGCATAGAAACAAGAGACCTGCGTTGTATTAATAATTAATAATTCAGTGAGGAAGTTATTCACTGATTTTACTAAGAGAATGGTTGAGAATTTGTTGGTTTTTTGTAGAGCGCGATGGCCCAGACGGGATGAGCTCCAGAAATGATCGGCGGAGGAATTCAGATTCCAGCCTGTATTGCAAACAGCGAGAAGGTGACGAAATGGGTGACAGCGCCAAGAAATCCGAATCAATGCCGGCCAATTTTCTTGATACGGATAAAGCTGCATATGTTCAGAGCTATCTAGATAGTGTGCACGACGTGAATAGTATAACAACAGACATAAGTGACAGCGCGTTTGGGACCGGCCCTGAATCGGAGCCCGGATCAGAAGAGACCGGAGCAGGTTAGCACGCTTTTTTGACCTTAAAAGAGCACTTACTCAAGGTTTTTCTGTAGCCTTCAGATGTACTTTCATATGGTGTCACTTTAAAGTGTCAAGCCGGAGGATCACAACTTTGAAAGGATCACAGGGCTTCCATTATTTTTGGCCTTGAAAACTCTAATTATTTCTTTACATTTTTTATTAGTTTACATTTTTAATTATATTTTGTTGAGCCAATTATGAGTTTGGAAAATTTTCCACCACATTTTGGTTAGTCCTGTTGGACTTTCTTAATTCGCTTTTTTAAGTACTTCTTGGGAGCATTTTGTCATTCAACAACATGCAAGGTCATTGATATTCCTTATCTTGACTCTACAAGTTAAGCTATATGGGCACGTAGCTTTCCAGTACAAGCATTAGAGGAGAGAGACATGTGTTCCTGAGAATAAGAAGAGGGGAAAGATAGCCACAGAAGCCTAGTGCCCTTTCGTGGTATTCTCAACTTTCCCTCGATAACGCTCTAACATAAGCTCCTGCAAGGGCCACAGCTTGTCGAACATATTACGATGGCTCTTCAGCCCTTCTCCGGGGTGGGGTAACTCTCTAACAATCCCGCATTCCCGGGAAAGGAAATAGGTTACAGAGATAACAGTAGAATTCTTATTTTAAGAGCGGGTGATTTAAATACTTTATTCAAGCGACGGAATACATTTTTCCGGGCTCTATAACGTGATAAAGCCATATAGGATGTTGAGAGAATACGATGTGTTCTCCCAACACCCCAAGTGACTTTATCACGAACATAACTAGTTACACGTGGGCCCCGCTTAGAATTTGAATTGACCAATGAGACGATGCGTACTATGTTTATTATGTTCTAAACGTGTACATTTATATATAACAGTTGCGTACTTGTGACAACAACAGGCATTGTTTAATTGTTTTTTTTTTTTTTAGATTTCAGATTTAAAGTGTGCCTCAAAGACCTGAGTCACAATGTCACCTGCGAATTGACAAAAGTTCTCGGAAATGACCCGGAAATAAAAAAAAATGTCTTCCAAGCCTTTGGTCTCAAATTTGAACCAAATGAGAGAGGTTTGAGGATGAAAATTTTCGACCTATTTCCGGATACTCCTGTCAAGCTGTTAAAGGAAGTCTTTGAAGCACTGCAGTTATATGATTTGGCAGAGTTGTTGGAAAAAGATAAACCGCGTTCTCTTCGTTCTGCTCTTCCCCTGGAAGAAATTAAAAAACTGCGCCAATGTAGCGATCGTCCTACGGTGTTCCATAGTCAGGTGGCGGTTTTGATCATCGACGATGCAAAGGAGAACGCCAGTGTAAAAAATATTATATCTTTTTTCAAGGATTTAAGTTCAGATAGTAAAACTGATGTAGTGTCTTTGGAAAGTTTGCAAAAAGCGATGAAGATAACTGGCGAACTAGAGGAAAGGAAGCTTTTCGAGAAGCAGTGGAATCGGCGGTGGAAGAATTTGAAAGCGATGAAGGAAGATTTTGAAGAAAGGATTAAAAACAAAGAATTTCCGTTAAGGCGAAGGCGTCTGTTCCGTGACCCTTACTTTTTTTCCAGAGCAGAAGAGAGTGAAGTGGAAGGAGCCGAAGAGGTCAAACTACAAGAGGAAATAAAGGAAAAGGAAAAGTTGGTGAAAGATGAACTGAAAAATGTGGAAGAAGCTATTTCATCAATTATGGATGTTTGGATACACGATCAAGGTGAGTGGGAGACAGGGACCTTGGATCTAAGAAGTGGCTAATTATTCTGATCAAAAAGTAAACTTGAACACCAAGTTTTCTTTAACACAAGAGATAAAAGTTTGCTTGCTGAATGTTGCTTTTAAGTAGAGCACTTTGGCCCTCCTGATTAGATACAGAATGAGAGGAAGAAATGATCGAAGGACGAGATGTTCGAAGGGAAACCATTAGTCTTCTCTACTGGCGGCGTTTAACTCAATTGGTGTTAAGCAAATCGGCTTACGCGAGTAAAACGTTTCCTTCGTCGGATAAATTTTAAAACACAGCGAGCTCCGGTTGTAGACACGTTTGTCAGCATTCTCGAGAAGGGGTAACAGCTACGAATTTCTGTGCCCCTTACGTGAAGAGAACTGTGCCGCTGCTCTTACTTGCATAAGGACTGGCAAATGGATTATTTAGCTATTTCCCTGAACAATGAACCGAGTAGTTTCTAACTATAGTCGGTTGATATTGGATGATTTAGCAACTTAAGCCAGTCGTTGGAGATGTTTCGTCATGCGTCATGAGGAATTTGCTGTCCTTGTGTTGCTTTTTTATTTTTCAGATCACTTCACCTTTTTTGTTGTGATGGAAAGCAGCGATCTTTATAAGTTCCCAGACATCAGTGCAATGATCGAGAATTGTTTGGCAAAGAAGCTAGAACTAATACCAAGCAGAATGAAATTTGTGATTGGATCACAAAATTGGGATCGCCTCAAGCATCTCCCGGAACTTCTTCAAGTAATATGTTATTGTTCGAGTAGTCATTTTGTCGTGTTGATGGATGAAGTCATCAACAAAAGATGGCAAACGTTGGACATTATATCCATGATTAAAGAGATCGAGAGAAATTTACTCTTAAAGAAGTCGTCGCCTTTCCGAGAACATGAATTGTCTTTGATAGATGATGTAAATTTAGAGATAAAGGATAATTTGTCGTTAGTTCCTAAATTCCGCAAAAAGCAAGGGTATGATTCGGCTTCTTAAGAGCGACTTTTTTTCAAGACCGCGTGAGAGGGGGACACATCAACAGAAAAAATGGCTATCTTCATATTTCAAGCAGAGATAACTTAAAATAAACTTAGAAACGTGGTGAAGTTTTTTTTTTTCTTTTTAGCCAGAGTTGCTTCTTCATTCAAGTAAATTCACTCGTCGATAGCCGCAAAATGGCGGAAATCAGCGCCTCGAGTAGCGGCAAATGAATTTTGCTCACGAAAAACGCAAAAGAAGGACAGGGATTGAATTATGTTTTAAGTCTAAAACGTGACCATTTCATTTCATTCGGAGCTCACGGAACGCTTTTGAAAATCACCAATAGTTCGAAATTCTAATATCGCATTTCGCAGCAAATTTTCAATTGACATTTTAAGAAAGTTCTAGAATAAAATTGAGCTTCATTGTGGACTCGAAAGAGGACAATTCAATCATATGTACCGGTATGTCGGCAGTTCTTTACCGATGACATTGAAGACGGGCAGCAACTTGATACTAGTGTAGATGTAACATACTCAAGCGTTGACATTATTTCAATCACCGTAAAACATTTTCTTGTTTCCTTCTTGTGGTTTTTCGGTCACGAAAATCATGGATACTAATATGCAAATGATGCTTTACACAAACCTGTGCAGTAGGTAATAAAGAATATGCTACTTTGGAAGAATTTTTTCACTGAAAAGCAGAGATAAAACTGTAGTAGGACTCAAACCCACCCCGTTGAAAATCCCTACCGTAAATATTTTTAATGGGATGCATTAGACTCTGTCGTGAGGGAGTGAAGAAACTGTTAGGGTTATATACGGTGATTATCAAGCAGATAGCATCGTCGACGCAGGCATTTTAAAGTCATCATACTAAATGGAAAAATAATGCGTCGACGGATTCAACGCTTCAAC